CCCCCCCCCCCCCCCCCCATTAACCACTTATAGGCATCGGGGACATTTTTACCAGTAAAATATTGCCAAATTGCCAGGACATATTGGCTGGTTTTTGTCTTTTATCCCAAGAAGTATAAATAAAACCTGATGAAACAAAGGTGGTTGAACACAAACAACAGAGAATCAGTGAGGCAGGATGGTTAGACTGAAAGCTTGAGTAAAAGTCAGATGTTTTTCAGCAGTAGTCTGGGCTGAAGGTAGACAGCACTCGGGGCCAGTCATTCACGTGGGTGTAATGGAATGTAGAGTCTCGGTCTGCCTCACTTAAAGGAAGACAGGCTGCTCTTTCAGCGTAAATGAGGAATCAGACTGGTGGCACTTCCCACAAATATAGGTACACATTGGTAATTTTAAAACCATCAAATATCTGTATCCTCAAAATTTAAATTTGCCCTCTCACACCTCAGAGGTCTTACCCTTCTTCACTGTATCTGTATTAAACCATTACGTTCATACAACAGTGTCATCATTTTGTGAAATGAATAATAGCCTATGGTGAACTGATATTCAATCAGTAGTAGTGAAAACTATTATATTAACTTAATTTAATAAACCAAACTATAGTATTTAGCTAATTTTGAGGTGCATGAATACCCAGCATGAATACAAATATATAAATTCTCATTCTATTTTCTTTATAAAGTAATAATTTTTATAATACACTGTTCAAACGTTTGGGGTTGGTAAGAATAAAAAAAAAAAAGTTTTTAAAAGAAGTCTGTTCACCAAGGCTCCATTTATTTGATCAAAATAGTTTACATACATCCTGTCACTGTTTAATTGATCAAAAATTTAATATTATTAGGCCTATAGTTTAAAATAACAGAATTTTTACTAGCCATTAGTTGATATTTCAGTGTCATGTGATCCTCCATTTCTTATTATTATGCGTTGAAAACAATAGTACTGCTTTATATATATATATATATATATATATATATAGGAAACTGATATATTTTTTCAGGACTTTTTGATAGGTTCAAAAGAATATTATTTATTTGAAAAAATAACAATTTAACATTATAAATGTCTTTACTATCACTTTGGATCAATAAAGTTAAAGTAGATGTATAATTTCTTGAAAAACAAAATCTTGACCCCAGACTTGCAAAAATTGCTAACTTTAATAGAAAATGTATAAAAGTCTAATTAAATCTATTTTTTAAAGCACTATTTTGTGACATATATGTGGAAAGTATGTTTTACCCAGCTCATTTTACTGTTGGGTCTGTTCTTCTGTGCAATCTTACGAAGCTCTACATTCACCCTCATTACTATCTTATAATTATGAATCTCTCCCAGGCTCTGCACCATAATTTGATGTTTAAACCGTATTTTCGAGTGTAAATGCTCGAAACACTCTGTGAAGCCCCAGTGCAAGACAATCTCATAACCTCTTACAAAGTGTCCATGTACTCCCTCGCATAAATTACAGTAACGTGAAATATTTCCTAATATTAATACTCAAGTGCTCCAGTCTTACTTTATTTACTGATAATTTTTTTGTTTTGTGACCACAGTTTGTGATTTATTTTCCCTGATTAACATAGAATAGCACTATAAATGTAGTCTTACCTGGAGCGTGTTGACACATAGTGGTTCATCTATGCGATCTCACACTGCAAAGAAAAGACAACAAAAGAAAGTAAGTCAAAATGAGAAAGAAACTTCAGCATCCTCCCTTTGGCTCTTCAGAACTGATGGACAAAGCAAAAGAAAAAAAAATGAAGGGCTACTGTATGAGTCATAATGATCTGTATAACAGAGCAGCCCCCTCAACATTACGATAAGACCTTCAGTGGAAAAACTCTCTTTCCCAAACTGTTCCCGTGTTTGTGTGTGTCAGAGATCATACATCACACAGTATCACTATGAGTCCTTTTCCGGTACACATACTCCTCCATTCAACCACAGTGATTAGTCCGGACCAAACCCCTCCCTAACTAGACAGAAAAACCAAAAAAACAAGAATGTATGTTTAAGTTGTTTGGTGTTCGCCTGGGACAGGCTAATTATCTGACTATTTGAAAGCCACAGTGCGTAAAACACACATTTCTGCTGAAACTTGGTCACAGTGCATATCAGGATGTGATGTGAGAGCACTATACTGAGAGACGACTAGTTAGTGAGCATTCCTGTCTAATTTTACACATACCAGTTTAAAAATCATTATCTGTTGTCCTGTCTGTACTTCGGGCTATTTCTATGGTTGGAAAACAGTATTGTTGTTCTTTTGGTTTATATCTTTTCATGTTTTTGGAAACTACACTGGACATTTCCCAGGACAAGTTCTTCTTTCCCTCAGAGATCTCATGGGTCGTATCCTGTCTTCATATTAAAATAATTCTAAATTGTGTAACATCTTCCAATATCAATACAAGGTTAAGAGAGACCTGTAATTTAATCTTAAAACCTAAAGGATGATTGTCAGCTTAATTCAATGAATTCAGTTTTATAAAGTTTACATGGCATAACATTTTATGAAAATATTCAACTAAATAATGAGAGATGAAGGAAAAGCAAGATAAATTTAGCATTACATCACTTGCTCACAAGTGGATCCTCTGCAGTTAATGAGAGAATGAGCATCTTAACATCTGATCAGAAGCATCACAATAATCCACAAGTAATCCACATGACTCCAGTCCATGAATTTAATGTTTTATGAAGTGAAAAGCTGTGTGTTTGTAAGAAACAAATCCATCACTAAGGCATTTTAACTTTAATCCATCACTTCTGGCCAAAATACCAGTCCATAATCTATAATAATGCTTCATCAAGTGTCCATTACCTGTTGTCCACTCACATCAAAATCCACCCACATATTTGTTTTGAGCTGTTTTGGACTGTTTTCGGGTGGAAACAGTGTTTGTGCATATTTCTCTCCTGTTTCAGAAGAGACAACTTTTTCACTGGAGAAAGCAGTATTATGGATAGATGGCTCATATTAGCCAATAGACGTTATGAGTTTGAGTTTTTGTAGATAAAAATGTCTTAATTATGATTTTGTTTCTTATAAACAGGCAGCTTTTCACTTCACAAGACATTAACTAATGGACTGGAGTCGTGTGGATTGTTGTGATGTTTTTATCAGCTGTTTGGACTCTCATTCTGACGGCACCCATCCACTGCAGAGGATCCATTGGTGAGCAAGTGATGTAATGCTACATTTCTCCAAAATCTGTTCTGATGAAGAAGAAAACTCGTCTTGGATGGCCTGAGGGAAAGTGCATCATTTGTTTTTAGAAAAATTTGATTTTTGGGTGAACTATTTCATTAAATATTAGAATTAGGTATGACTAAAATTGAGTCTCTTAGACTATGATCTATTCTTTGACAGAAGGGTTTGGCTTAACAATTCTCAGAATTAAACAATTCAGTGTAAATATTAAAGTCATTGAAAATTCTATCAAGAAAACTCTGAATCCAGGTCTCCTCGTTATCTGTTTTAATGCCTAAATGCATTAATCAGAAAATATTTTTTATGAAGCCTAGTCACCAGGCCCATTTATTATACTCTTGAATGAATTGCACTACTGTGTTTTTCTAGAATTGTCCATTCAAATACTTGGAGAGAGTTTTCACCATTGTCCTCCAGATGTAACTACCGTTGTGTGCCGGCATCAAGAGAGGAAAGCGGCTGCTCATTTTTGGCATGGCTTTATTGAAGCCAGCAGCCTGTAGTATTTCAGGGCCTTGACCAATGGAGCCTGGCTTTAATCAGACACTGAGCCAAACTAAGCCCAAACCTGAGCTTCAAAGCTGGCATGAGCCAATACTCTTTCATTTGACTTCACAAATAGATGTCGCGCAAACGAGTAGCTCTAAAATTATGTTGTTCCTCATTGAATAAGTTAAGCAGTGCGGCTGTTCTCCCTGTTCTCTGTTACTTTTCTAGGCTCTAATCATTTTAACAGGAATTCTAGCACCTGTTTCTCATCTATAACATGATATTTAAGTTGAGACAATAATGGGTGCACAACTGCTGTCATTAGTATTCACAGCCAGGGTTATAATGAGTCAATGTCAACTAGACCTCCCAGAAGCATGCCAACCAGTATGCTGCACAGCATTGTTGACCAAGCAGGTCACTTTTAGCTGGCCAGGCATTTTCCTGTGCCATCCGTGTCAGTTCCTCAAGAACAAACAGGTGGAGTGGAAAACAGGTGCATTTCGCAAGTGTTTTTCAGTTCCTTTACTCTTAAATGAATAGTTCACCCAAAAATGAAAATTCTGGTATCATTTACCCTTTTCTAAGGAAAAAATATATTTTTAAGAATGTTTCATCATTCTCATATTTTAGACCCCTCTGACTTTCATTAATTAACAATTTTTTCAAAATACTGTACTAAACATTACTATAAGAATCGGTTAAAAAAATCTGCTTATCTGCATGCTGAATGTTGACTGCTAAAAAATGTACTTCCTAAGAGCATTTCCTTTCAAACATTTCTTCCAAGTGTCAGAATAAACAGAAACAGACCACATCTTGTGGGAAAAAACATTACATAAACTTTTTGTCAGAGGATTGGGGTACAAACGGCAAGACCATTTAAATCCATAAAAATATCAGAAGGAGCCTCTTATGGTCCATATGAAGCGGCCTTATAAAAACATGTCCTCTCACTGGGTCTGTTTATCATGAACTCATGAGATCCAGTTGAGAAATCTCTCATCTAGAGTTGTTGTGCACTGCTGTTTGAGCTGCGTGTGCTGAGCTAAAGACGATCACCGGTAAACTGAAGTGCTCTTTTAACTTAACCAAACGCATTCTATATGAGATAAATCAGATATACATCAAATAAACACAATATTACAACGTACAATTGCACAAAAGGCTGCAAACGAACAGCGCGCATCTGAAGTGTCTCTGAAGGAAATAATGCATTATTTATCGGCTTTAAGATATCGGCCAAATTTTCTTATCAGGCCGATACCGATAACAGAAAAAATTAGCATTTATCGGCCGATACCGATATGGTGGCCGATATATCGTGCATCCCTAAAATAAATAAATAAATGTTCTATGATATTTTAAGATTTATTGGATGGACTTTGTCATTCTAAAGAGCACTTGATTAGTATTTTGGTTCTTTTACTGAAAGAAAGATTGTAAATTTTATATATAAAAGCATTTGCCAACTTTCAGAAGTACACTAGCATATCCAAAGCAAAAATTCAATTGTATAGGGTCTTTTAGAGATAAAAGATCTTGAAAAACTTTGCTGGAAAATACCAGAACCCAAAACAGTATTAAATCACTGAGTATTTCATGTTAGGGCCTGAGATCTTAAATTCGGCCATGATTTATTTCACTCTCATTTCCTGCGCCACACCATTTCACCCTCATTATAATCACAAAACATGACTTTGGGCAGATTCATTTGCCAGCCTTAATGCTACACTTCCTGTTTTTTCCCCCCCTTTTTTCTTTCTCTCTCATTTTTTTCTTCTCTAATATTAGGTTTCAGAATGCAAGGCCACTCTTAGCTCGCTCCAACTCAGCCTCTGTTAGCTCAGTGAAGCAGAACAGTGGAGCTGGAGGACCTAAATGTACTTATCCCCACACAGATGGGAAACTAAAGCTTTTCCATACCTCAGCTGCCTAGAAAAGAAGATAGACGGACAGAATGTTACTATTATTCTTTTCAGAACAGTTTTTATAACACCATGTTTAACTGTTTATTGTCAAGATGAGAGATTTAGTTTGAAAAACAGAGGGCTGTTGAAGGATGTTGCACTTTTGTACTGATTTAGCACCAGTTTCTTTGACCCATAACCACTATGAGAGAAAAGTGGGTGCTTAGGAGTGCCATGTTTAACATGCTGCTGGTTTTTGCTGTAACAGCAAGAAAAACATGATGAGTTCATTTAGGGCTGGCTTCCTGGAAACAGAATGAAGCTTTTGACTAAAAGCTTTTTTTAGTAGAATCACCTCTTTTTTGAGCCCTTTAGTGGAGATCTATGTTCAAACTGGCCCCAAGGGATGTCAGTGTGTGTGTTCTGTGTTTGTACGGCTCTGTGAGACCTTGGCTGTAAGTGACTGGCACATCATTCCCAGTTGAATCCTATCCTCAATTGAACGTTTCTTTAAATTTGGGGTTATGGGTAATTATTCTTAAAATAATTTTTTTTTTCTATTGAGCCATCATGTGAAAAAAAGAAAAAAAAACATTTAAACGAGTAATAGTGAAGCTTAACTTAAAAAAATAATAATAATACTCACACTAAAGTATGGAGCCCCGCACATGATGTGGGAGAAAAAAAAATATTGTGGCCTCGAATTAAGAATTCATTCCCATGACTTAATTAATTTTCTCATTTTAGTTAAATAATCACCACGGATTAAGAATTTGTTCTCTCATTTACTTTTCTTCGTTATACTAATTAGTTACAATCATTTTATTAAATCATGGCCACACTGTAGTAATTTGTTTCATTTTATTAAATTGTGGCCACATTATACTAATTAGTTTCCATCATTTTAGTAAATTGCAGCCAAGTTGTACTAATTTGTTCCCTCGCTTTAGTAAAACGTGGCTACGTTGTACTAATTAGTTTCCATCGTTTTATTAAATCGTGGCCACATTGTACTAATTTACTCCCTTGTTTTAGTAAATTGTGGCCATGTTGTACTAATTAGTTCAAATAGTTTTATTAAATCGGGGCCATGAATTAAGAATTTGTCCTACAATTTATAGGAAATGCCATTTAGTAAATCGTGGCTAAGGTGTACTGATTAATTCCTTCGTTTTAATAAAATCTAAATGAGGGAATGAATTAGTACAACGTGGCTACGGTTTACTAAAAAGAAGGAACAAATTAATAAATCGTGGGATGAATTCTTAATTAGTGGCCATGATAAATATATTTTTGTCTGCGTGCCATGTGCAGGGCTCTGTACTAAAGTAATAATGTACACCTTGTAAGGTTCATGCCATTCCACTGTCCTTCACAAAAGTCCTGTCTCTCAGACCTAGCTTCACCACGTACGCAAGCCGGAGGCTAGATTATGCTCTTACTGACAGATCACATGAACACACATCGAAGCGCATGCACACACATTCAGAGCAGACCCCACAGGATAAACAAACAAGCATTCAGCCAGTCCTCTTGCCATCGTAGCACACATGATGCACAGTATCGTCTTTGATCAGGTACCTGAGAGGCCTATTTGACGATTATGAAGAACACTTGATCATTTATTTAATTTGCAATTTTATTTCCATCTTAGAAAGTATCATGCACTACGCATTTGTGTTAGTTGCTTCCCAAAAAGTATTGGTTAACCTTCAAGAGAACCCCAACAAATTAAAACAGCTGTGCCGAAGTCACTTGCTACACTGCGTGTAAATTAATCTCAGGTCTGAAAGAAAAGGAAGCCATTGTGTAGTAGCAATAGTTAGTAGCGAACAGCTGAACTGTTGCCTGCGCAGTTGATCTGCTGGAGGCGGCGTACACCTGGCTTAGAATTAAACAGTTAGCTTCTCCATAATTATAGGTCAAAGAGTCAGCTCTGTTAACATCAGACATTAACTGATCTGCAGTATAGTTGATGCCACAAAGAAAGAAACTGCTGTGTGGATAGATGCTAAGTATTACCATATGATTGCAAGATCAGGTTTGAACAGAAACTACGATCAGTTTCTAATGCAGATTAGACCTCCTGGCTGCTAAAGAACTATTAAAATCATTTTGAGTCTTATTATGCCGAACTTGTTCACCACACAAGCTCATGAAAGGCATGGGTTAGTGTCTGTAAAATTAAAAGTATTTTATTTACTCACATGTATGCCTTCCAAACCCATATGAATTTCTTTCTTCCATTGAAAACACAATTATGTGAAGTTTTGAACTATTTTAACTACTACAATTAATGAGGTCTGTAGCTATCAAATAGCTATAGTAATATAGCGTACTGACTTCACACAAGATCCAAACCACAAGTCCCATCAAAAGCAAATAAAACCCATTACAATCAGTGAAGCTGTCTGAAGTCTATGTGACGCGTCAGTGCATTGAGTTGTCAACCGTAAATAGATGTCTTGTTCTATTTCTGAGGTAATTCCTGCATTTGCTCTGATTCCAAAAACATGTTCAAATGTTTGCTTTGATGGGTCCAGTGTAGCTGTTTTTGGTGCAGTAGATATGGTGCACCTCCGGTCAATACATTCTTAAGTTTTAATTTCACACAGAATGTGCTTTTGTGTTTAAATTGGCAAGACACTGGGCAGTGGAATGGGGAAAAAAAATGCAAGGTCCGGAGACGCAGTTTTAAAAAGTTTAGTTTGTCTAACACATATCTAGTCCATGTTTGCATAATAAACAATGGAAGGTAGTGCAGTGGAATGCAAAAACGCATTCTGTGTGAACGGCTTTTTTTTATTGTCATAGAGTAAGTAAGAGTAACATTGCAGTTTTGAGGCAGGCTTGTTTTAAAATGATGTAAACCTTAAAACAGACAACACAAAGGCCCATTGTTTTAGTTTGTTCCTTGCGTTTTTCTTTTTAACCATAGCCACTTGTTCTTGTTTTCTTTTTAATTGCTTAACTGCAGCCCATTGGCAGAGCAGCTGTATGCTGAATCATGAAAGTGTGCGATAGGCTGTCCATAGTGTGGCGCAAAACACATATCTCATACAAACATAGGCAAAACCTCGAGTTTAATGGCATAGGGACTCATAAAATACCACATGCTCCCTGTCAGAGTATTATTGAGCCTGATTCATACTGGCAGAAGGCTTTTTTCCACTTTGTTGAATTACATTATAATAATGCATAGTGACTTCAACCAGCCAAACCAACGGGGAAAAGATGAAAATAAGTTTGGAGTACAACTAAAAAAAAAACATGAAACATGGAGCGTAATGAACAACAACAGACTCCTTAAAAGATTTCAGGAAATATTTAAAAACATGTGCTGATGATAAAATGTTATTCATTGTGACTGCTTTTCAAGTACTGTATATGCAAATGCTTTTTGTCCTTTATGGATCTTGACAGGCCCTAGTTACTGTATGTTTTCAATGTATAGAAAAGAGCAGCTAGAACATTCTTCTAAATCTCTCCTTTTGTGTTTCCACAGGTGAACGAAAGTCATACAGGTCTGGAACATCATGACCATTTAGTTTGAAGTCACTGGCCACTACACTTATTTCAACTCAGACCTGTTTGAATCCCGTGTGTCCGGACTGTTTCACTGAACAATGCCGCCCAGTATGTGTTCAGGCCCACTGGCCCCACGGTTACTGCTCTAGGAGCGGGAACCGGGACAGGAGCTGACACAAAGCAGCTGTCTGAGATCACTAGAGTGGCAGGAAGTCAAATTAACTTAAATGATTTTAGCAAATGGCTGCAATATAACAAAGAGTGAACAATTTAAGGGGGTCTGAATACTTTCCGTACCCACTGTATATCATGCCTGTATATACAGTATGGCCACAGACGGGAAAAGCAGTCAAATGCATTGAATTGTATTGAGGAGAACCTTACAGATATTCATATTACAGTTGTAGTCAATACACAATTGACATTCCACTTTTGAAAAGTTAAATATTAAAAACTTTAAAGCAACAGAGCAGTAAAGCACATATAAAGCAGTCTTTCATACAATATAATATAATATAATAGTTTAATATATTGAATATAATTGTATTAAAATTATATATTATATAATTTGAAATTATAATACATATTTATTTAATGAGTGCAACTCATTTCATTTAGTTTAATTAGTAACTAATGATACAAAATCAGAGCAACAGCACAGCAACATATAGTTCCACTCCAACTCACCCAATGTATTCTGTCCTTTCTCTTGTCCAAGTACACACATCTGAGCTGAAGCCGTAAAAGACTGTTTTACTTGAGTATTCCACTGTTTGTGAGTGAGCTGTCTGTGTAAGTGAGATTGCATACAAGTCCAAAAAACTCAAAGAAGGAAGGAAGAAAATGGAAAGGTAAATTGTCCTAGAGAGTCTGTTTGCCTATTCAAAACAGTTCAAAAAAGTCACTGGAGGTAGAAGGTGATCATAACGCCATGTGCAGATGCATACTGGAGCTGTGTTTCTCTTTATAACCCATGTCAGGAGGACGCTGTGCCCTGGAAGCTGGAATGTGACACAGAGAAGGCAGGAGGCAGAAATATTCACCACATTGACGGGTCAGAATGGAACTCTGGAGAGCAGTGAATATGAAAGAAAGGGAAAGAGGGAGGTCTGTGAGATTGAGAGAGAGAGAGAAAGAGAGGGAGGGAATCTGGAAAAGAAGGAGGGGGATGGTTGGACGACTAGTAGAGAACACGACATGACATGAGAATTTCATTCAGTCTGGACTTGGAATTTGCCTGTTAACTTTTGCTGGGAATTCTATCCCGAGGCTCTCTGGAAAAAAAGCATTTTTGTACTCGTATGTGGGTCCATGTGTACAAGAGTGAAATTCATAAAAATAAAAATAATAATCATGTTCATTAAAATGCATGACCATCAAACAGCCATGAAAAATACAGAGTTGCCACAGAATACATTATTTCACATGAATTTCTTTGCAAAATGCATCAAAATATCAAACAAAGTAGCATTTATTTTGAAGAAGAACAGCACAAGCTCACTTTTAAAGCAAGTTTGTTAGGTTTTAAAAACAAAACAATAGATAGACTGTTCAAAATTTGAAGTATTCTTAACTTTTATAAATAATATCTCTTTGGATTTGAGACTTTAGTCTTTGCAACTTTACAGATCTTCTTTATGCACCAAGAGCTTGTAACACTCCAAAGAGAAAGGAAAAATTGAAATCGCATCATATGACCCCTTTAATGCTAAAGTTTAATGCTTTTAAACCAGGGCTGCCCAAACTCGGTCCAACTTGCCTCAACACACCTGCCTTTAAGTTTCTAGTATGCCTAGTAAGAGCTTGATTAGCTGGTTCAGGTGTGTTTAATTGGGGTTGGAGCTAAACTCTTCAGGACACCGGCCCTCCAGGACTAAGTTTGGACACCCCTGTTTTAAACCCACGTTTGTCCATATAAATAATGAGCATTCCCATGACCTTTGAGCACACTCACTAAGCTGAGTTTGTTGCTTTTATAGACCATAAAAGCTTTAGATAGTCTTTGACCTGTCTCCCCCCCAATGTGACCATCTTCCTTTAATCTGATAGGAACCACTATAGCTGTCTGTCTGTGATTGAGACCTGAGCTTTTGATCACTCAGCCTGATCTTCTAACAACTCTACCACCACCATCCATGAAATGATCAAAGTGGGTTTGCACAATTATAAATGTGACAAGAAGGGAACTATGGTTAAAATCGAGCAAAATCACTAATGAACAGTGTCTGAAACGTGATCTGAAGCAATGCTGAGATAAGGAAAGTGACTAAAAAGTGTTTAAAATGTGCTTTTATTTTCATTCTAAACAACAAAGTGCCATATGCTGAAAAACATAAGAACCTTGTAGTTGCAATAGTTTTTTTCCATATTGCATGAGAGCGCATGATCAAAGAGTAGCCGAGTGTTGACATATCTCAAGTGAAATGTCTATTGATAACCTGACTAGCTAATAGCTGGTAATAAACTGATTCAAGTAGAGACAACCAGCTATAAACAAACAATGGATAACAATGAGCTCTGTACATTGTTCTCTTGCCCATCTTCTATTTTCAATTCCCAACAGGTTGAAAAACACTGCCACAAACCAGTTAAACTTAATGGGGCCGTCATGATTGAGAAAACCTCTTTTCCCAAAGAAGGTAATTAAGCATTTAATGGGCATGTTAATAATTCACCAATAGCACATGAGACCACGTGAGTGAATAAAAGCAGAGAGACAGAGCCGTGGTCTGCCAGATGAGATCCACAGATTCTGAAGGCACATTATGTAGCAGATTGCAGAGCTGCAGAAGTCCAAACTCACTCATGGAGATGATTTGATTAGCGTGATTGTTCAAAAGCTTTACGTAACGCTGGAGCATCTCCGGGAAAAAATAATGAGGAAATGTTTGCCTGGCTAAAGATTAAATCTACAGCAAAAACCATATTGGCAATGCACATAAAGTGAAAATATATATGGGAAAAAAGATCAATGCATTCAACTAAACTATGTAAAAATGCCTTTAGGGTTTAACCCAGTAAAACATTGAAGCATTGTGACTTACCAGCTTTGCGATTCAAAATGAACTTTCCTATGGATATAAGCATACACCACTTCCTTAACTACACCCCATCCCCCTGTTGTGTTCCTGCTGAAACAACGGGCATAAGGGTCTGCTGAAGCAGCACAATTAAGCATCAGTCATTGAGCTGCCCCATGTGCTGGTCTTTACTGCCCTGCTGCCCAGAGTCAACAAACCAGGGCTGATGGGGTGTGCCTGCATTTGACACAGAGCTTCTGATGAGTCAGCACTGAAAAAATCACAATATGAAACTGTATTAAAAACATTCATACATTGCATCCACAATTAGAAGGACATTCGTCAGTGTGTGGTTTATAGCATTATATAGGATTATTTTTATTCTTCTGTGTACACACAGAAAAAAAAAGATTTATAATCAATTAAAGATTTATAATCTATTAAAAGACTTTGACAAACATATTTCATCATTCAAATTTAATTTAATAATTACATTTTAAGCTGAACTACATACAGAAAATGCATATCTATGTGTGTTACTATGGTAATTCAACTTAAAAATCAACGTAACACCTATCAAAAAGAAACAAAGCAACATCGGTGTCCGATTCCAGACCTTCTCCTGCTCCTGTATTTCTCTCCACTGCTGGAAAGCTGCTCCAATATTTACGCTGGTCCTACCTCTTGCCTGATCGTAACCCTTCTTTTTAATGTTTTTTCCCTCCGAAATTTTTCTGTTTTTTTATCTGCCATCTCTCGCTGGTTGATCTGCTAATATCCGTGCACTCACTGAGCGCTCTCTTCTCCATATCATTAGTAGACACGCCCCTTACTGCTGATTGGCAGTGTTTGTGTTTTGGGACTCGGCCGACACTATGGTCAAAAGAGTTTTTCAAATATTGCTTAGTGCACCTTTAATGCATAAATCCTCACATCCTCAGCATCAGTCATTGAGCTGCCCCATGTGCTGGTCTTTACTGCCCTGCTGCCCAGAGTCAACAAACCAGGGCTGATGGGGTGTGCCTGCATTTGACACAGAGCTTCTGATGGGTCAGCACTGAAAAAAATCACAATATGAAACTGTTTTAAAAACATTAATACATTGCATCCACAATTAGAAGGACATTCATCAGTGTTCAGTTCAATGTGTGTGGTTTATAGCATTATATAGGATTATTCCAGGACGATTCCAGACCTTCTCCTGCTCCTGTATTTCTCTCCACTGCTGGAAAGCTGCTCCAATATTTACGCTGGTCCTACCTCTTGCCTGATCGTAACCCTTCTTTTTAATGTTTTTTCCCTCCGAAATTTTTCTGTTTTTTTATCTGCCATCTCTCGCTAGTCGATCTGCTAATATCCGTGCACTCACTGAGCGCTCTCTTCTCCATATCATTAGTAGACACGCCCCTTACTGCTGATTGGCAGTGTTTGTGTTTTGGGACTCGGCCGACACTATGGTCAAAAGAGTTTTTCAAATATTGCTTAGTGCACCTTTAATGCATAAATCCTCACATCCTCAGCATCAGTCATTGAGCTGCCCCATGTGCTGGTCTTTACTGCCCTGCTGCCCAGAGTCAACAAACCAGGGCTGATGGGGTGTGCCTGCATTTGACACAGAGCTTCTGATGGGTCAGCACTGAAAAAAATCACAATATGAAACTGTTTTAAAAACATTAATACATTGCATCCACAATTAGAAGGACATTCATCAGTGTTCAGTTCAATGTGTGTGGTTTATAGCATTATATAGGATTATTCCAGGACGATTCCAGACCTTCTCCTGCTCCTGTATTTCTCTCCACTGCTGGAAAGCTGCTCCAATATTTACGCGGGTCCTACCTCTTGCCTGATCGTAACCCTTCTTTTTAATGTTTTGTCCCTCCGAAATTTTCCTCTGTTTTTTTTATCTGCCATCTCTCGCTAGTCGATCTGCTAATATCCGTGCACTCACTGAGCGCTCTCTTCTCCATATCATTAGTAGACACGCCCCTTACTGCTGATTGGCAGTGTTTGTGTTTTGGGACTCGGTCCGACACTGTGGTCAAAAGCGTTTTTCAAATATTGCTTAGTGCACCTTTAATACATAAATCCTCACAATTGTTTTACCGTACTATGGAACACCCATAATAAAACTTTGGAATGTGACAGCATTTAAAAAATGTTTTGTGTGTAATATAGAACTCTGTATCCATTTAATATGCTAGATTATATGTTCTAGATTTCTAAAAGAAACAAAAATATAAATACATTAAAAAAATACAATTATTATTCTTCTACCATCATTAGGTAAAACTTTACAATAAGGTTCCATTTGAGAATTTTAGTTACGGTAACTACATAACATGAACTAACAATGAAAAATACTTCTAGAGCATTTCTCAATTTAAGTTAATTTCATCATTTTCTAATACATTATTAAAATCAAACGTTGAATATCTGCTAATATTATTTAATAGACCTGAACTAACATGGACTATGAATGAACAGTTGTATTTTTATTAACGAACTTTAATAATGAACAATACATTTGCTACAGAACATATTAATCTTTGTTAATGTTAAATAATGCAATAGCTAACATTAACTAATAAAATCTTATTGTAAAGTGTTTCATATAATAGCAATAGTATTAATAATAATAATAAATAATACATTACAAAATAAAAATTAGCATCTTGTGAAAAAAAAAAACCTGCCATCGGAGTACTTGGAGATGAAGCTATTCTAGTCTCATGACAGGCTACCTGAACAATGCCCACCCAAATATTTATATGCCATAATTCCTACTTTTCCTGCTGGCTATATCTGCTTTCACATTAAATGTCTTGGTGATGCTTTTCTTATTGATATTATATTAGCTGAACATCTTCACAACTCTCACTTTTAGAAATACACAAGAAATAAAGAGACATATTGCCCTTGAGACCAATGAACGAATGATTTGAATGAATTATTAAAATGTGTATGTATGCATTAAATTGAAACATATATAATATATAATATAAGCCTACATAAACGTTCACTTTCATGTTGTATTTAAATCTGTGAATATATAAATAAGAGATAGATATAGCATCATTTACGTGATACAAAAATGTATATATATCAAAGCAATCAAATAAACAAACAAACAGATTAGGATTCAGAGCATGGCCGCAGCTCTAGATGTGGTTATGTCTGGAGTTACTTTAACAGTGCTTGACATATGGAGTCCTGCTCTGGTTGCCTCCAGGTAATGTGTGTTCGCATAGAGTTGACAGTACAGTCAGAGTGCATTAGACCCGAGTGCCCTTAACTCTCTCGTGTCTATCAGCCTCACCAGGAGACACAATT